TGCGCGCACTCATTCTCACACACATTTTATATCTTGCATACTTTATTCCATGACTAGAGAACGTGTATTTGATTACGATAAGAACTCAATAAACAAATAAGTAACAGGATTTTCAACAAGTGTTTGGATTTTCAGAAATGTGTAAAATTTATTGTAAATTTAATAGACTAAAATATTATTAATTTTATAAACATGCTATATTCTTATGTCTCATACTATTTTCTGTTGAGCAAGGTATCAGTAGAACTTACATTTCAAGGCACAATCAATGCAGCGCAAATGAGCATCGAGTCGTGAAGCATTCATTTCGAAGCTGATATGAAAAGTAGCTGATTAAAACGTGACAGTATTGTATATTGTATTAGAAAAGGAAATAGGATTTGTCGCGTGTGGAAAGCATAGCGGTGTAAGCGAAAAAATTGCACAGCTATTATTCGATCAAGTAAAGCTTCATACATCTGAAAACATAATAAAACAGTGACTATTACAGCCGTGAACATCCTGCCTTAATATATTTTTTTCTTTATATTAATATTTTTATAAATAAAAATACCATATTTTAAAATATAAAAAATATGGTATTTTTTAATTAAAATTTTAATTTCTGCAAAATTATTATAATTTAATTAATTATTATGAAAAGAGATTAACTATTATTAAAAGAGATTTAAAAGCATTGCTTTTTTATATAATATACTAGATATATATAAATAGAGACTTGTATCCATCCTGAATTAAATTAATTAAAATTACAAATACATGTGATGTAGCGTTAATTGTTTTAACTATGAAACTATAATCAAACAATAATAATAGCATATTTATTATAGCGAAAAATCAATTCCTTAAGTTGGTAAGTTACACAAATAGATATCTAATAGATACGTCAGTATTTATTATTTCAAACCTTTAATTTCTCGAATATCCTGTATGTGAGTAGCTTTCCTTTCGTCCTTCCTCTCTGCAATAAAAAATACTTATTCTATCTAAAAATTTAGTATGATTTATTCTTTATATGAAAAACAACAATGTAACGAATACATCGAATGTACATAACGAAAATATATCGAAAAAATATCGAAGAAATAATATTCAAATAAATCCAAATCTTATACGTACATAATAAATAAAGTATATCTGTATAAATAAATCACGAAGTCTACAATTTGGCTTACCCATAAAATGAACTTCCATTTTGCGAACGATATCTACTCTTTCCGTAGCATGTTGCTCAGTATCAATCTGAGAAAAGAAGCGAAAAAAAAATTATTATTTTTGGAAATATTATAACATGTATTTATTAAGGAAAATATAGAGCAGAAAATAGAGAGCAAGATAGAGTATTTTTTCTAATAATTATTAGAAATTCATATAATGTTTGGATAATGTTTAGTCATATCTGTACCTCGGAAATTTCTGTAACTTCCCAAGCACGTGGTTTGAAATCTTCTGGAGCAAAGTGTATAATGACTTCTTCCACAGTTGCATGCTGAAGCTCAACCATTCTCATAAAAGCACGAAAACCGACTGTCGCTGCAACGAAACTTTCGTCAGTTGTCGTCTCCTCGGTAAGTACTTGGGTGATTAAAGGACCGTGGCCTTTTCTTTCCACCAATTGAACCAAAGCATTTTGAGCATCGGGAGTCTTTAGAGCAGGAAAAATCTCAGTCTTGTAAAGGCATTCGTTAATTTCGTTTACGGAGACACCTTGTCGAACCAAGTAGCCAATTGTCGCAAGTTCTCGAAGAGGAGATTCTCCTGGACCAAATTCTATCGCATCAAGTACCTCCATTATCTCATCGACTTCCCGAGCTATGTTTTCTTTTTGTTGTTCCACAATCTCTTTTACAGTAATATCTTCTTTAATTTTTTCAGCTTTTATTTTCTTTATCTTTTTTTGTCTTGTCTCTATACGTTTCATTTCTTGCAAACTACTTTCTACATGTGCTTCAGAGACTGCAACTTTCTGTAAAGTTTCCGAGGTAACTTGAGCGTGATCAAGTTTTGTTTCGATAGTGAAATCAGGAGCAATATCTTCACTCGTGATTTCTGACACGACAACACTTTCTTGCTCTTCGACAATTTGTTTGGCACGTTCTTCAAATTTAGGTATATGTTCTCGTAGTTTTTGATCGTCAATTTTTTTTAAAGAAGCTATTGCTTCAGTTACAATTGGTTCTTGAATCGGTACTATTCTTCGTGCTCTAGAAATCTAAAATATAAATGCAAGATAAATAATAATTTGTGAAAGAGATGTAACGTTAAAAACTGAACATCTTACAATACCTCTTCGGATTTATCTTCTATAAACTTTGTAGTTTCTAATAGTTGAGTCTCTTCAACATCGATAGTTCTTCTGCAAATACAAACAGCAAAAATTATAATTTAAAAATGAAACAAATTAAAAACTTTGGAATATACTGAACAAGATGAAATGGAAGATTACTGACTTTTCTTCTATCTGTTCCTTCGGAATAAGTTTCTCTTCACGGATTTCTTCTTTTTCAATTTTGAGACGTTCAGTTTTTACTTTCTCCTTGATCTCCTTCGCCTTCTTTAGTTCAATTTTTTTCTTTCTATGTGGTTTTTCTTCTTGTTTTTTAAGCTTTGTATCTAGCTTTTCTTCTTCTTTGATATCGCTGGGCATTAATTGTGATTCACTAATAGTATCGATATGAAGTTTGGCTTTTGTTACTATCATACCAATTTCATTAGTAGCTTTACAAACATACGTGGCATCGTCTTCTTTAGTAGTTTTCTTAATTGTTAGAGTAGTTTTGTTTTCTTTATCAATTATACGTACTTTTATATTATTCGTATTCATTATAAGCTTATCATTCTTATACCAAACAACATCTATAAATTAAAAAAATAATTAATTAAAACAACTTTATAACTAAATTTAAAAATCTTTGCGATGTGTATGTAATTACCTGGTTTGGGATTACCAGAATAGATACATTCAAATAAAGCGATATCTCCCTCTTTTGTATAAACATCCGTTATTTCTTGGATAAATCGTGGAACAGCTTGTGTAGCTGAAATGTTATGAAAAATTACAATTATGAAAAACTCACAATAAAAATAATCAAATAAAAGTACATTGAATTAATTAGTTTCTTATCAAATTCTGTGTTTAGATTATCTGAATTAATTTCGTCTTGTTAGTAGTCTAGTTAGATAAACACATATGAAAAATCATACCAGTTACTTCTAAATGGTGCGTCTTTATCATTAGTCTTAAAACAAATTCTACTTGACATTGTGCTTCTTTCATCTTTGAAAGAATGTAGCTATATTATTCGCTAATCCAAAATTTCCGTCGCATTAACTTTCAAATAGCAAAAATTCTTGTAATTCTTCTTGATTATCCGCTGTATTTAATTATTGGAAAGATTCCAGATCAATTTCTCTCAACTCTAATGGAAATATCAGTGGATTCATGAGTTGTCTCTTTTTGGAGCATTTTGAAACAGGAAGTCTTAGACTTGGGATATATGTATTTAATATTTTCTTTTATAGTCATAAATGAAGTCAACTGAATTAAATTATTCGGGAATGTGGTTTTTAAATATCTTTGCGAATTTGTTTTGATCTTACATGTTTAGCATTTTGGTTTTTTTTTTCATTAATGGTAAATAGAACGGTGATTTTTGGATCTCTGGAGAATTTATTTGTTTACCAGAGTGGAGCTATTTATAAATTTTTTTTCGTACTTTGACGATAGGAACTCATAAAAATTGATAATAATTTTTTTTTTCTGCATTTTATCAATATATCGAGATCTTTTCCTTAATTATCGAATCATTGTTCGCTTTTTTAAACATGTCTTTATTACTAAAGAATAATTGCAAAGCGACTTATTGATAACTTTTTTTTGAATATTATATTTAGTATCTTCTTTTTTAGGAGATAATTGTTTTGTACGTTTAATATTTTCACTACAATTTTTTTATATTTTTCTTTTTTATATTCTGCTTTATTGCAGAAATTATCACAAAGTGTGTTATTGCGCATAATGGCTAAATGTAATTTGGGACTAATTTTTGAGTGGTGACGAATTTCTAATAGCAGTTTTATATTGGCTTACAGAATTTGGAGTAAATTTCTGATTGATCATTACGTATTCTCAGGATTGTCATACCTGATATTCTTACATCATGTATTTCAATTTGATTACTAAGTGACAACATAAGATGCGTTTGGCGTTTACGACACTCGCGAGTTTTATTTGTTCTTTAACATTTGATAAACAAGAATGAAATGATTCCATGAGCGTTGCGAGCATCAAGTAGAATGTAGTACCCATAATGTGTTCAATAGCAAAATCATGTTTTACCTTATTAAGTACAAGATTGACTTGGGATTTCTTTTATTTTCTGTAATAACATTATATGAAAAATACTTATGTTTTAGGTTCATTATCTTGCTTCTTCTCTTGTAATTGTCTTACTGAATCAAATATTATTGGAGATTGTTCCTTATAAGAAAACATCTACTTGCCAAGAATATTGTATCGCAATATTATTTTTTGGTGAGTATCCATAGAATCTAAATATTTTGTCAACAAAAAATATTCTTTTGAAGAATAGATGAAGAAGTTTCATCTTTTTCATCAAGAAGTAATTTGGTATAATTTGTGGTAAAGATTTGTTGAAAAATCGTCGCTGGTCATAGTTTAACTCTTTTTGAGCTCACTTGTTTCTTAATGCACAATGTTATTCAGACTCTTGAGAAACTACACTTTGCATCATAAGGCAATTGAGCGTGTTCAAATAATAAACATGAATTTTACATGAGTTTCTTACCTTTTAAAGCTTCTTGCATTTCTTCCATCTGTGTGACCCACTCTGGTTTTCTGTACTCTTTTGTTCCGAGTATACCTAATCGATAAAACGAATATAAGAAACATATAACGAATGTATATCAAATCCTTTCTATCTTATTAGCATTATTTAGATAGAAGAATTTGGGCAAAATCAAAGAGATTAGTAAATTTGAAATATATAAAAAATAAGACAAAAGACAATGTAAATCAAGGATGTTGTAAGTGTTTGTTGTAGTTGTAAAGAACGTATGTAAGGAACGTAAGATAATGAGCGGCTTTTTATTAGGAATACAGAGATTCGACACTTCTCCGATTGAAGAGCGTGGCTGAAAGAAATATGATTTAATACTTAATCATTAGTAAAGCCTTTGAGATCTGTAGAGAAAATGATATTACCTTCTACTGATAAATACGTAGTTGTAGTTGATACACCGAGTGGATTGTAAGCTTCAAATATGATTTCACCAGTGTCATCGGGGAAAGTTTCGGCGATTGTTAATATTGATGTACCATCTTCAAATTCCTCAATTTGGAATTCTTGCGATGAGACTATTTCTACTCCTTCTTTATACCATTTTCCTTTCGGTTTTGGTTTGCCTTTCACCTTTACTTCCAATCTGTATATGTAGCAAAAATGGTAGTCACACGGTGAACACATATATACATACGTAACATATATACATAACATATATACATGCGTAATAAAAAAATTTATATATAATAAAATATAAATGTAATTACAAACAGGGAATAGAAGTAACTCGTTAATTATGATAATGAAGTTACAGTTACAAGTTACTTTTTTGGTAACTTTATTGATAACTTTACTTTTTTTGGTAACGTAATTACAACTAATTCGAGATTTATACATAACAGCTTGCCAATATGAATAATATCTGAAAAGATACCAGAAGATTTGCAGATTATTGCCGTGTTTTTATTGCTAATGCCAACGTTTTGTGAACCTTGCTGTTTATTTCATCAGGACGAGAAATATCAATGAGTTCCTTGACCTGATAAAGTGAACAGTAACATTCACGAAATTGCCATTAACAATGGATAAAAACACGGCAATAACCTGCAAATCTTCTTGTATATTTGAAGATAATACTCGTGAAAGCTTAAAAAGCGTTATGGATAAAATCTGCTTTATTAAAGCATCATGTCCAAATTAATCAAATTTTCCATGCAAACAGAGATTATACACGAAAATATATATGTATAGAAAGAATATATATATGTTTAGATTTTTATATATAATTATGTATATTTGTATGTGTACATATATACTTAATTATATATAAACTTTTTTATCAGATGTATATTAATTCATATTTGAAACAATTAACATTCGTTTAATATATTAAACATACCTAGTTAATTCTCCATCTTTAGTAGGAACTAACTGAGGAAGCTTCTTAATTATCTCTGGTATAGATTCTTCTATATCAGTGTCAAAAATAGGAGTTTCCTAAAGTTAAAATCAATTTTAATATTTAATATTACATTAAATATAATTCTATAGAATATATTGTTTGTTAAATTTTATATTTACTTTCGGAGATAGAAGATCTTCTTCTGATCCACTCTGTCCTGTGGTAAGAGATGTCGCGACTATTGAAGACGCAATTTCAGAATCCGGCACATACTCGTACGCTAAAAAGTAAATTTTATAAAATAGACAGCCATTTAAAATCGTAACTGCTTGCGTCGAATAATATACCTTCAACAATGAGCGTTGACATGCAAACAGCTTCGCCAACAGGATTCACAGCACGACAGGTATATTCTCCAGCATCTTCTGGGAATACTTCAGTAATAGCTAAACTACAGACACCCTCCATATCCTGAATAATTGTAATTTCTTTTCCTTCTTTAATTGGCATGTCATTGTGATACCATTCTACTCTCGGCGTTGGTTTCCCTTCAACGATGCAGATTAAATTAACACTTTCACCGTCCATAACTTTTACAGGTGATAGTCTCTTTACAAATGTCGGTGAGACTAATTCAATTGCTTCTTCCCATGTTATTTCCATCAAATTAACGGTAGCTGTACAAGTAATTGAACCACCGACATTTTCAGCACGACATGTGTAATTACCAGCAAATTCTGATGTGACTTCTTTCACCATTAAAATCGATCGATTTTCTTGAGTCACAATTCTTACTTGTGATGTCGACTGCAACAAATAATATCTTTTATTAATTTGATGAAATTTTGGATAATATACTGTTACATGCAAGCATTAAAGGTTTACTTTAAACAAGCATAGAAATTGGAAAAAATACCTCAAGAGGTTTGCTTTCATGAAACCACTGAAAAGATGCTGCTGGATATGATTCCACTCGTGTTTCCATGATAACAACTTCTCCTTCTGCAACAAGTTGAGGCTGAATAGGTTCCACAAACATTGGTGCTTTTACTTCGTCTATAGTGTCTTTGCGTTCTTTAACAGTAACAGAACTCGAGCTTCTCGCTTCACCGACTTCATTCTGAACTTTTATCTCATACTTGCCGCTATCTTTGTTTGTTGCTTCTATTATATTTAATTCGGTTGTACTTTCATAAATGTCTATTTTGAGTTTGTTAGTCGGTGTAATTTCAATGCCATTGCGGAACCACTTGACTTCTGGTTTCGGTATGCCATCAAAATCAGCTAGAAGTTTCAGAGACTTTCCGCGCTCAATTATTAAAGCGGATAAAGGTCGCGTAATTCGCGGTGCTCTGAGAACAATTGGTTTGCTCACTTTAACGATGTTACTGATCACTAAATTAGCTCTGCATTCAGCGCGGCCATATTTATTTATAGCACGAACACGGTAAATTGTTTCATCTTCGGACATTGGTTGTAAAATTTTCAGTTTAGCTTCTCCAGTAGTTGGGTTGAAACTCAACTCCGTTCTTTCGTCTGGTTTTACTTCTTTTTCGTCACGATACCATTTCACTTCAGGTATTGGCATACCAGTTACAACGCATTCTAATAAAGCAGGTTTATGCTCTTCAATCATTAACGGTTTAATCGGCGTTGAAAAATGCGGTGCTATGCCTTCCTCTTCTTTTTCTGAGGATAAATATTAATTAAAGGATAAATATTTTGCATTCTTGAAAATATGTGATATTGTATTTAATATTTATAATTACCGTATGTCGTACATCTACTTTATATTAGTAATCCCGTAAATCATTGTAAATCTATTTATATTTATAGATGGATGTTACTTCTTATTTTAAAAATTATTGATATATTTAAAAGTGTTATTAAAATATACATATATATAAATGTATATATACAAATGAAATATTTGTATAGTAAAGAATGCTTATCTAATTTTACAAAAAGATATAGATTATAAAAATTATATATCTCATAATATTCCTGTATCTATAAAATAAATTCAAATTGTAAAAATTAAACAATTCATATTTAATATTATTACCGAATATTACAAGGTTGACAGTGGATGTTGCAACTCCAGCTGGATTAGATGCCCTACAAGAATACATTCCAGCATCTTCTTCTTTGACGTTTGTGATTTCTAAGGTTGCCGTTGTTTCAAATATAGTCATAGTATACTTTTCGCTCACATGGAGGTCTTGCTCATTTTTATACCAAGAAATTTCAGGCAATGGATTTCCTATAACAGTACATGTAAATTTGGCAGGTTTTTTCAACTCAGCGATAACAGGTTGTAATTTTTGAATAAATCTTGGAGCTATCGTTTTGTCTTTATCTGTAATTGATATATCAACTTGAGTACGTTGTCTACGTTTTCTCTTACGATCTTCTACTGTGACATCTGCTTTAACTTGTAACTTGGCAGCTTCTTCTTCGATAATATTAGAAGCGATTTTTTCAGGCACTTTTTCTTTTACTTTAGATTTGGTTACAACTGATTCAGTAATGATTTCATCTTTCTCTTCTGAAATTTCTGCTATTTGCTCCGCATGCTTTACGGATTTTAATTCGAAAACTTTGTCTTCCTCATATGTCTCTTCAGGTAATTTTTCATCTTCTAAAGCTAATACATGTCTTTCGGGTTGTTTTAGGTCTAATTTTTCCACTTCTTCAATGGATTTTAACATAACCATTTCTTTCTTTTCTTCCGTCTTTAAATGTATTTGTTTCTTTTTTCTCCAAGAAACTTCATTTGTAAAAACTTCGTCTGTTTCTTTATCTTCTTTAAATGATGGCATAGTTTCTATCTTTCGTTCAAATAGATCTTGAGTATCTTTTGTTGTAATTATCATTGCCTCCTTTTCTTCAACGTCTATAACAGATTCTTCTTGATCAATAGGCACTACTGTTACTTCTTCCTTAAAATCAACGACTTTTTTTGTTCGCTTACGTCGCCAAGGAGTTTCGATTATCTCTGTTGACTCTTTACTTTTGGATTTTCCCTCTACAATTTCTGTTAGCATTTCAGATACTGGTTGTAATTTTATGTCTTTGGGTTCTTCCTTTTCCACTGGCTTTAAAAAAACTTGCTCTGGTTTCGGCTCTATGGGTTTATCAATTGTCACTGATTTCAATCGAATCTCCACCATTTTTTCTTCAACTTTTTCCTTTTCAATAGGTTTTAAAATGATTTCTTCCTTTGTTTCTTCCTCTTTAGAAAGTTTCCTAACAGGTTTCAACACAATTTGCTCTGGTTTCGCCTCTTCGGATTTTTTAATCTTTTTCACTGGCTTCAATCGGATTTCCTCTGATTTTTTTTCAACTTTTTCCTTTTCAATTGGTTTCAAGATGATATCTTCCTTTGTTTCTTCCTCTTTAGAAAGTTTTCTGACAGGTTTCAATATAATTTGCTCTGGTTTTGGCTCTTCAGGTTTGTCCAGCTTTTTCACTGGCTTCAATCGGGTCTCCTCCGGTGTTTCTCCAACTTTTTCCTTTTCTACAGATTTCAAAGTAATTTTTTCCTTTGATCCTTCTTCTTTGGCAAGCTTTTTAATAGATTTCAATACAACTTTCTCTAGTTTTGGCTCTTCGGGTTTTTCTGTCTTTTTCACTGGCTTCAATCGAACCTCCTCTGGTTTTTCTTCAACCTTTTTCTTTTCCACTGGTTTCAAAGTAATTCCTTCCTTTGATTCTTCCTCTTTAGGAAGTTTTCTAACAGGTTTCAACACAATTTGTTCTGGTTTTGGCTCTTCAGGTTTGTCTAGCTTTTTCATTGGCTTCAATCGAACTTCCTCAGATTTTTCTTCAACTTTTTCTTTTTCAATTGATTTCAAAGTGATTCCTTCCTTTGATTCTTCCTCTTTAGGAAGTTTTCTAACAGGTTTCAACACAATTTGTTCTGGTTTTGGCTCTTCAGGTTTGTCTAGCTTTTTCATTGGCTTCAATCGAACTTCCTCAGATTTTTCTTCAACTTTTTCTTTTTCAATTGATTTCAAAGTGATTTCTTCCTTTGTTTCTTCCTCTTTAGAAAGTTTTCTAACAGGTTTCATCACAATTTGCTCTGGTTTTGGCTCTTCGGATATTTCTGTCTTTTTCACTGGCTTCAATCGGACTTCCTTCGGTTTTTCTTCAACTTTTTCCTTTTCAATTGGTTTCAAGGTGATTTCTTCCTTTGTTTCTTCCTCTTTAGAAAGTTTTCTGACAGGTTTCAACACAATTTGCTCTGGTTTTGACTCTTCGGATTTTTCTGCCTTTTTCACTGGCTTCAATCGAACCTCCTCTGATTTTTCTTCAACTTTTTGCTTTTCAATTGGTTTCAAAGTGATTTTTTCTTTTGTTTCTTCCTCTTTAGAAAGTTTTCTAACAGGTTTCAATACAATTTGCTCTGGTTTTGGCTCTTCAGGTTTGTGTAGCTTTTTCACTGGCTTCAATCGGACTTCCTCCGGTTTTTCTTCCACTTTTTCTTTTTCGATTGATTTCAAGATGATTTCTTCCTTTGTTTCTTCCTGTTTAGGAAGTTTTCTAACAGGTTTCAACACAATTTGCTCTGGTTTTGGCTCTTCAGGTTTTTGCAGCTTTTTCACTGGCTTCAATCGGACTTCCTCCGGTTTTTCTTCCACTTTTTCTTTTTCAATTGATTTCAAGGTGATTTCTTCTTTTGTTTCTTCCTCTTTAGAAAGTTTTCTGATAGGTTTCAACACAATTTGCTCTGGTTTTGATTCTTCGGATTTTTCTGCCTTTTTCACCCGTTTCAATCGAACCTCCTCCGATTTTTCTTCAACTTTTCCTTTTTCAATTGGTTTCAAAGTGATTTCTTTCTTTGTTTCTTCCTCTTTAGAAAGTTTTCTAACAGGTTTCAATACAATTTGCTCTGGTTTTGGCTCTTCAGGTTTGTGTAGCTTTTTCACTGGCTTCAATCGGACTTCCTCCGGTTTTTCTTCCACTTTTTCTTTTTCGATTGATTTCAAGGTGATTTCTTCCTTCGTTTTTTCCTCTTTAGGAAGTTTTCTGACAGGTTTCGACATAATTTGCTCTGGTTTTGGCTCTTCAGATTTGTCCAGCTTTTTCACTGGCTTCAATCGGATCTCCTCCGGTGTTTCTCCAACTTTTTCCTTTTCTACAGGTTTCAAAGTAATTTCTTCCTTTGATACTTCTTCTTTGGCAAGCTTTTTAATAGGTTTCAATACAACTTGCTCTAGTTTCGGCTCTCTGGGTTTTTCTGTCTTTTTCACTGGCTTCAATCGAATCTCCTCTGATTTTTCTTCAACCTTTTCCTTTTCCACTAGTTTCAAAGTAATTTCTTCCTTTGATTCTTCATCTTTATGAAGTTTTCTGATGGGTTTCAATACAATTTGCTCTGGTTTTGGCTCTTCTGATTTATCCATCTTTTTCACTGGCTTCAGTCGAATCTCCTCCGGTTTTTCTTCGACTTTTTCTTTTTCAATCGATTTCAAGATAATTTCTTCCTTTGTTTCTTCCTCTTTAGGAAGTTTTCTAACAGGCTTCAACACAATTTTCTCCGGTTTTGGCTTTTCAGATTTGTCCATTTTTTTCACTGGCTTCAATTGTACTTGTTCTGATTTCTCTTCTACTTTTTCTTTTTGCACTGGTTTGAATGTGATTTCATCTTTTGGTTCTTCCTCTTTGGGAAGTTTTTTAACATGTTTCAATATAACTTCCTTAGGTTGTACTTCCTCTGTTTTTGTTATTTTCTTAATGGGTTTTAATTGAAAATCTTCAGGTTTCGGCTCAATTTGTGTTAATTTCTTTGCCCGTCTCCATGGTACGTCCATTTTCTTTGTAAATGTGTCTCCATTAATTTCATCGATTTTTTCAGGTGAAAGTTCTGGTATGGATGTTTCCTTTGTCATCGATGTATGCGTGAGGTCTTTTGACACTTCTTTTTCTTTAGGTAATTGTTTTGCTGGATGTAATGTAATTTCTTGTATCGTTTTTTGCTCTTCAATTTTTTCGTGTCTTTTTGCCGGTTTCAGTACAACAGATGTGAAATCTTCAATTTTTTCTTTAATAGGTTTTTTTGTTTTATTTTTTTCAGATTTTTGCCATGTGTCTTCGAATACTTCTTTAATGTCAAATTTTGTTTTATCAGTTTCAGTTTCTGAAATCTTTTTTTGTATTGACAGTCTTGATTTACGGCGCCATGGAGCTTCAGAAATTTCCATAGGTTTATCTTCTTCCAGTTTAACTTCAGGTTTAATTATTTCAGATGTTCTTATTTTCTCAATTTCTTTTTTTTCTCTTATTTTTTTACCTCTAACCCATGGCATCTCTTCTTTTTTAGATTTTTCAATTATATTATCTGTTCTATCAATGTCGAGGATCGTAGTATCTTCTTTTTCCATATATGATATACTTTTAAATTTTTTTTCACTGCACACTTTTTTAGTAGACTCAACATCTTTATCCATTTCTATAATTATTTTATCTTCTTCTTCATGATATGGTACATTTTCTTGCTGTACTCCTACCAAATCTGTACTTTTTATTTTGATGTGTTTTAAATCTACTTTCTCTACTGATTCTTTCTTTAATATTACTTTATCTGATGTTGGCTTTAATGATACTTCCTCAATGGTTTCTTTATATATTTCTTTCTGCTCCGGTTTTGTCTTTTTTAAGATTATTTTTTCTTCCATCCATGTCTTTGATTGTGGCTTTTCTTGTGGTACGTCCTCTTGCTTTTTTATTTTTTTATGAATGTTGGTTTCGTGCTGTGACGTAACTTTAAGCAAAGTAGTATCTTCTTTCTCTTTATACATCGTAATATCTTCGTCGATATGTTTTTCTTCTCGTACTAACTTTTTTCTTGTATCTGATTTTAATTTAATATCATCGTACATCTCAGTTGAAACTTGAAGTAATGTAATATCTTCTTGTTCAATGTATTCAGTTTTATCGATTTCTCTATTATTTTCTTTTTCTTTTATGACAGGTTTTAAATTTATTTTTTCCAAATCTGGTTTTGGAGATATTGATTTAATATACTTAGACTTTAATTTTATTGTTTCTATCATCTCTTTTTCAATTTCTTTTTGAATAGGTTTAGATTTTTTCAAAATAATTTTTTCTTCTGTCCATGGTTTTGTCTTATCTTCCTTATCTATGATTTTATCCACATCTTTACTTGCTCTTGTTTCTTTTTTATCTGTGACGTCAATTCGTGTAATCGTTGAAATTGCTTCAGCTTCTTCTTTTGAAATTGATTTTAGATCTGCCTTATCTAACGTTGATTCCACAAGATCTTTCTTTACTATTTGCAAAGGTTTCAATGAAACGGTTTCGAGGATTTCCTTGGGTATTTCTTTTTTTTCCGGTTTTGCCTTTTTCAAAGCGATTTTTTCCTGCGTCCAAGACTTGGATTGTTCTATCTTCTCTGTGATAGGCTTTTCTTTTTTTAATTTTTGCATTTCTTCGTCCTTTACAATTGTAAGCAAAGAAGTGTCCTCTTGTTCAAGAAAATTTATTTTTTCTTCATCCAATTCGGAAGTTATTTTTGTCTTTGGTTTTATTTTCTTTAAAACAATTTGTTCCTCCGACCATGGTTTTGGTTTCTCCTGTTTCTCTTTTTTCGACAAAGTTTCATCTAAACGACGCGATGTTTTTAACAGAGTATTATCCTCTTGCTCCTTATAAAGTTCAGTCGTAATATTGTCGCTAGCATATTTTTCGGTTATTATAATTTTATCTGTTGCTTCTTTAGGCACGGATTTCAACTTAATTAGTTCTATATTAAATCCGTGGATATCTTTTTTTTCAGTCTTCGTCGGTTTTAACTGAACTTCTTCTAACTTTTCTGTCGTCACATCCTTGGTAACTTTGAGAGTTTTTTTCAAAATTATTTCTTCGTCAGTCCATGGTTTTATTTGACTCTCGAAAGCTTGAAGCTTATCCAGTGAAGAATCTCTTGATGTTGTTTGTATTTTCCGCCATGGAAGTGAATCATAAATTCGAGGTAGAACGCGTCCTCTTCGCCAAGGTAACGATTCATCACCAGGTTGAAGTTGTATTTCAAATGGTAAATCATTTTTGTCGAGAGGTAAAGATCTCAGAATTACATTTTCCTTCAAATCTTGATGAAGTTTCACATCTATTTCAATACTGGCACCCGTCTCCGCGGGAACCGCGTAATAGGCTTCTTTTCTCTCTGCAAGTTATGCAAAATTGTTTTAAATAGATATAAATGTTTTTTTACTATTTGTTTCATATCGTATATGTATTTAAATTAAGAGAAAGCTTTATTTACATCATGATATTAAATGAAATTAAGGAAAAAAATCTATTTATAAACGATAATTTATCAATTCTTTAACATCATAAAATTAATTCTATAAATATTTTGTAATCGTTGAATAACAAGAAATAGATTTTGAATTAATTTTTCAAGACAAAGCATTTTGCCAGATAATCAACCTTGGAAAAGTGAATTATTCGTGAATTATTAATATGTAATATATGATTTGTAAAAGATTATATTCAACTGAACATCTATTTTTTTGTGATATCTGCCTTTTTATGGGTAGATATTATCGACAATAAAAATATTCATTGTTTTGTGATAGTTACAACTACTAATGAAACAAGCAATTGTATGAAGAACATGAATTTTTTAATTAAATTTTGTTAACAAAGAACATTAAAATTAACACACATACACACACTTACACATTTGTGTATATATAGACTTATATGAAAGAGTTACTTAAAATAACAATATTAGGAAACAAAGTTTAGTAATGACGAGTCAAACGTTAACAATTGTATGTAGAACATAAATGTTATAAAATGTCTACAGCAAAAATATAAAACGCATGGATCTACAAAATTCTTTAAATTATTTTTAAATATTTTAAAGAGTTTGGTGATCTGACTACGTAGGAAATTTCTTCTCCGAAATGTAATAAAATACAATTATTTATTATTAAATATTATTATTATATATTATTAAAAATTAATAAATAAATATTATTTCGACGTTATGATGATGCAGCGATATTATTTTTTTAATCTATACGCTATATACGAGGAAATTTTGGAAGATATATCAAGAAGTCACAAATAATGGATATTTTATTAAATATAATTACGCGAGTCAAAACGTTTACTTGCAGTGACCGTAGAGTTCGCGTTGCTCATGAGTTTCTCTAAAGTAGTCTCCCGCGGAGTAACTCGGTGGGGATCCTTGACGTATAAGATACACGTCCCTATTTCATGCTACATCTAGTCGTAATAGTAATCAGTTGGAAGTCGAAGACGAAGGAACGAAGAAAATCTCGGCAAAATCGTCGTCTCCCTTCTTATAATAACATCACAGTGATTGTTCAGTGAAGTGAATAAAAAAATTATATTTGAAAGAAAAAGAGCATCGACAAGTACACTTTCTAACGTTCGTTATCTCTATAAATTCTTTCCTTTATGTGATTAATCGAAGTTATATTCGAACTGGATAATCCATTTTACTATTGTGAAGTGATACGTTAAAAATATTTATATATATCGTGCAGTGAACTGTTCAACAATTTGTATGCATGTGCACATAGTTGTGTCAAGCAAATATCTTAAAAATATTTTGTGTTCATATAATCTGTCTTTTAACGTATATTTTAATGTCATTTCTAAAATATACAAACAAAAAAGCATTTTCTTATTCATATTTTTCTCAGCCAGCTTTAGTTAAAATGTGTGCAATTATTATTTAATTATAGAGATTACCGAGAAAAATATTTCATCTTGGAAAAGCAGTTATCAATTTATAGTTTAATATTATAATCAGAAGTTCGAAAAACTATACTTATATATGAGTGAATGCAGACGTAGATGAGTAAATATAAGGACAAAGATCTACTATTTTCTGCATGATAACATAGTTTATTAGGTGAATTGTAAAATGGATTTTTAAAATAAAAAAAGAGATAGATACATATTCACTTTTACTTCTATATATCTTGTCCTATAAATTTTATGATTATATATTTTTACACACACACACACACACACACACACACACACACACACACACACAGATGCGTGCGCGTATGTATATTTAATTACGTTGACTATTTTTATTGTTTAATAAACTTATATTAATTTTTAAAAAATTAAATTTTTAATTTTAAATTTAATTATATATACACTGTAAAAAATAAAAGTGTAATTTTAACTTATAGTCGTATAGTGGACTTTCTGAGACACGCAAAAATGTTAAAATTAACATTTTATTTTTTACATTTTTCAAAAAGTTGTATAATTAAATTAATACATATAAATTGTTACATCATATCATATTTGGCGCTATACTATTTAATTATAAATAAATGCTCTATTTTTTGTATTAATTTCACAGAAAGATCGAAAAACTAAATGAATAACAAAGGATTTTTTTTTGATGATCAAGTTTAATTTTTATTTCGATAATTATTGAATAGAACTCTATTACAAAATTGTGGAAGAATTCAGTCTATTATGATTAGTCTATTATGATTTTTTTTTTTCATAAAATATTTCGATTGCATTAACAATAAATACGATCGCATTGTAATAGACACCGTTAACAATTTGTTGTATTGGACATTTGCAACGTAGTCTGTCAGTATATCTTGAAGTTGCTGATTTACTAAAAATAATTTTTACTCGTTTTGTAGAGTACGCTGACACGCTCTTCTCCGAATTATTCCTGGCATGACTGAATCACTAGCAGCTGGCTCGAGACGAGGCCAAAATAGTCAACTCGGCCAGCTTTCTTCGAAATTACTGTGCTGATGAAGCATCAAACGTAGATGGCGATTTAAAATTAAAGATAGGATAAATATGGATCACAGAAAAGAATTTCTTCTTGATGAGTTAAATGTCCATTCGTTCTCTTGGAAAGCATCGTCGTTCCATCTTCAAGGTCGTTCAAAATTCATTGAGAATCACTTATATTTTTTTAATTCACATTATCTGTGAATCATGTTCAGAACATAAAGAATAGACGTGTAGTTTTTAGGATATTTCTCCATTTCCAAATAAATTCAAGATAGTTAAAAATGGAAATTAAAATTTTCTGAAATATATTTGTTTAGCTCGATTTTTGACATTCCTATCTATCTCAATATCTAAATAAATACCTACAACGATTTAATGTTGGTCGCAAAGGATTAATATTTAAAATTATTTATTAGATTATAGAATTTAAAAAATATATACATGTATAAA